GTTTTTTGACACTTTAAAGTTCAGGCAGTAATGGGAGATAAACAAAGTTCAGAGGGGTTATGTGCAAACACCCAAGTTCAGGAAGGTTATGTGAAATTAACCGAAAAAAATTCTTGTTCTAGGCTAGTTTTCATTATAGTTTTATAAAAACAATTAGGCCTCTTATTCCTCACATAAAGTTCTTATAGCTTTCTAAGCTGTATATATTTTGGAGCAACAGAAATAAGGCCTCTTATCCCTCATATAAAGTTCTTATTATAGCTTTCTAAGCTGTACATACTTTGGAATAAGGCCTCTTATTCCTCATATAAAGTTCTCATAGTTTTCATTATAGTTTTATAAAAACAATAAGGCCCCTTATTCCTCATATAAAGCTCTTATAGCTTTCTAAGCTGTATGTATTTTGGGATTTAACATGAGTTCTAACAGATGCATGAATGACCAAGTCGCCAAAGTAAAAGCATGTGCAAATCCAGTTCTGTTCAATCTTATAACAAATTTGGCGTATTTTCTCATGAAACCAAGTTCCCTTCCGAGCCCTTTCCTGAAGAGAGATCATACTCTTCATGGGAACTCTCATGCATCGTATAACAACTGTTTAGATTAATCTCGAAAAAATAAAATTTACTTTAGCATCTTGATGCGTAATGCTTCCAAGAGTTCACATATCAAACACTGCTAATTGCAGGTCCAATCCGGCATCAGATGATGTTATCTTTTTTTTTTTTTTGTTAGTTAAGCGGAGAGCAAAGGCAATTTATCATGTAATTCTCACGTTATATCAAAAACCCGACACCTGTAGTTCAAAGGTAAATGTTAATAAAATAATTTGATGATACACATGGTATGAATCAAGTTGAGGGGGAAGAGAGTACACACACAACCCTTGTGAAGAAAGCACATCTTAATTTACATCAAATACTCTTCACCTCTAAAAAGTGGAGATGCAACCTGATCACTACTGCACAAACACAAACCCAAACCCTGTCAAACTCCAACACTGATACTTTCTGCACAATAAAACAGTTCCCGTTTAGTTCATGTCTCTATCTTGAGCAAGGAATTGAGGGAGGTGCTGTTAAATCTCTGTGCAAGTCCCCTCATAACAAGGACGGTTACATCCCTCATGTGCCGGGTTTGCACCATCAGGTCAACTTCATTCTCACTGTCGACAACAATTTTGAACCGGTGCTGGTCATTTCGATAAAGCTCCACCTGTGAGACACATAATAACGTCGTTCAAGACGGAGTATAAGTTGTCAAAATATAATAACACTAGGTAATAACACATAATAGTATAATAAAGACATAATATATAATAACACATAATAATGTTGTCAAAATATAAGAACACTAGGTATAAGGTCAATGTGCATGCTGCTGTAATCATTGGTTGGCCATGTAATCTGCAAGCAGGCCTCATTTGATGGAAGATGTCGAGCAAAAATATTGATGCAATTGAGCTACGCGACTATTGATAGCGTTAAGAATGCAGATACTATAGGTCCAAATTTAAATTTAGATTTCTAAATTGAAAATCTGTACGTTGGATGTGATCTATTAGCAAAAAATTATTTAAAAACAAAATCTCGGATGATTTTAACGTCTTTGTTTCATCATGCATCTAATGTTGGCAAAACAATGTTTCAGATTCTTCATAGAATCAAATAATGGTTATCCCTACCTGACATGATTAAATACACGTTGAAATAATTGACTTTTTTCTCGTTCTTTTTTTTTTTTACAATCTTGTTTATAAATAGTCCATGTAGATTACATCACATCCAACAGTATACATTGCAAATTTTAAATATGGATTGACTGCATCAAGATATTATCAATAGTAGCATAGCTCTACTCATATTAATGATAATACAAGTGAAGCTTATTAGGTAAAAGATGGCAAAAAGCTCCCAACTGCAACCTCCAAACAGTCTTCAGTTTATAAAACTACCACAAATTGCCAGCACCACCAGCCTCTCGTTATACATCTAAATATAATTTCCTAAAAACTAAAATTCAAAGGCCACTGGTTTATGTACACCTTAAACATGCTAACAAAAATGAGAAACTTACATGAAAAGGAGGAGCATAAGTTCCCCGAATTTCAGTAGTGGGAAAAGACGTCTTAGAACCAGGTTTTATAACCTTGACTCTTTTTCTGTTAACTTCTAGAACTCTTCTCTCAAGATTTCCAACTCCGGCTCCCTATGAAGACAGCAAGAAAAGTACTAGCGCATGATTAATTATGCTTTCTGCTACATGGTCAACAAGATGATTCATTTCTGTATTTAAGAATAAAGAAACCTACCTTCTTTGGCATCGGATCCTTGTTACACAATACCTGTTTCAATATAGAAGAGGAAGTATGTTAACTTTTGAAAGAAAAATTTAACCGTCAATCCTACTTTGACACACCATGTAACATAGTAGACAAATGTATGAAAAATAATTATCAACAAGAGCAAGTTTAACTGCCAATGGTGAAGCATGTTGCAAAACATTTGGCTGTCGCTGTGACAATCATATCGAAGTGAGCAATCATGCTGCATAAGGTTTGATACTGATATTATACAATGAATAACAGAAAGGAGGATGAAGCACATTTAGCCAATATAGAAAGGAGAAATGTGCTCATCAGATTACAGTGAATAACTAGTGACAAGTTATGATATGGTTATCCTGTTTCAATAATAGACGATCAAGTGCCTATTAGGTTCATCACCTCATTGACAAAGTTTATTGTCTTGATTCCTGAAAAACAATGCACCTAGCGGTGGTACTTCTTATAATGATTAAAAGATGGTAATAACAGGCTAATACTTATGTTCCATTGTGAAACATTGCATCTAAAATTTTCTAAATCACATTTCACATAATATGCAGCAGATATTACCTCAAATTTTACAGATCCCAAGTCCGTCTTCTGTTTAACTTCCTTGTAAACATCTGGCTCTGCAAATAATCATAAGAATGAATTAAATGAATACAAGAAACAATACAGAATACTCAGACATTTAAAACTTAAAAAAAAAAGAAATTACCATGTCCTGGAGTTGGTAGAGCATGGAAATTGGTAATTTAAGAGAGAGAGAGAGAGAGAGAGAGAGAGAGAGAGAGAGAGAGAGAGAGAGAGAGAGAGAAAAAGAATACTCAGACATTTAAAACTTAAAAAAAAAAGAAATTACCATGTCCTGGAGTTGGTAGAGCATGGAAATTGGTAATTTAAGAGAGAGAGAGAGAGAGAGAGAGAGAGAGAGAGAGAGAGAGAGAGAGAGAGAGAGAGAGAGAGAGAAGAAGTGAATCAGGATACAAGGCATGCATGCAGAATTACTTGTCTTGTAATTATTTGGTCATGAACTTTCAACTAATAATTAGTAAGTGACATGTCTCTCTTTGTAAACATGCAAATGTGGTCCACTTCGAATGTGGCTTGATCTGTTCAACCACGTGAATGGATGAATCAGAAACCAAAAGCGCAAGCTGGAATTAAACCAGCGGCTCAACTACCATACAAGGTTTGCAGTTCAGGTAAATGTTGTGCATTTCAAGCTAATATTGGTGATTTATTATAATGGAAGTAGCTCTACCAAATTCAATCTTTGAACAATACAATGGCATAGTACTCTCAAAAATAAATTAACTCAGCAAAGCTGAACAGACCCATTAGAATTGCTTACCAGTTGCTACTTTTAATTTATGAAATTTTACGAACAGATCGAGATAACTCATTTGAGAATTTCATATGGCGACGTAGTCTAGCATATTGGTAAAGGACCCAAACAAACAAAAACTGCTGATGAATTTGACTAGTGTTAACTGGTTTGTAAAAAAAGGATGAAGTAAGAGCTGGGAATATACCGACAACAATATCTACAAGATTTTATTATTTGAACATAAAAAATTTTACAAACATATCGAGATAACCAACCTGCGAATTTCGCATGGCAATGTAGCCTAGCATATTAGTCAACGACCATAAAAACAAAATTTGCTGATGAAGTTAAATGTTTGTAAAATATTTTATTAAAAAACATGAAGTACAAAGAGCTGGGAATATACCAACGGCAATTGGTTCAGTTGATGCAGAACTTGGCTCCCCCTCTAAACCATCCTCCCTAATTGGAGTATAAAGAACTACGAGCCTGTAGCCCACATCATCTACATTAGCTTCATACATCCTCCCAATTTCACCTGCATGTCACAAATAGTGTTTATAAGAATTTTTTAGATAGAAAAAGAGCATGATTGCAATGTCAACTGAGGAGGTCTCTCTTTAAACCTGCAAAAGGCTACAGCGTGAACAGGCCAGCTGAAGAAATTGAAAAGCATCTTTTACAAAGGACTACAATGTGGTGCATGTATCAGCCCTAGGAAGAGGTTTTACCTTGGCAAGTTCAAGTGCATCCGTATTGAAAACAAAATTTTCCTTACAGTTGTACCCAAAGCCCCCTTCTACAGCATAAGAGGACACCAATACATCGAAATGATTAAACAAAGCAACAGAGCAATGAGAACATCCCTAAAAAAGCCCTAAAAAATGACATTGCCACCTTTTCTTATATTGATTATCCCCAGAAATTCGATGGATGCTTATTATAAAGGAATATGGAAATGGTAAAGAAAAAATATGCTACAAGTTGGCTTGTTAAATTCACAGACAAGTAGGTGCTGCTGAACTTAAAAGAGAATGAATCTGAAAGACATAGACTTACACGAGTCAAATCAGTAAAGTCTGCAGCGATGCAAAGAAGAAAAGGGCTACAAGAGGTAGAACAATGAATAGAATAACCTGATTCAGTAATTATAAGTTTAGGACAGACTCATGATGATCTGATTGGCAGCGGTAGATGAGTAGATATCTTAACTCAGATCAACCTATCTTACACGCAAAATCTGAGTCTGGAATCTCGTGGCAGTTCTTTCTTCGAAAACTAGCACGAATATATATTGAGGAACATAGATAACGCTCAAAGAGACTAAGATCAGGTGAGACCAAGGTAGTGCTGGATGCATCTCATTTATTTTTCAGCCATAAAAAACTGGGTTTTGGCTGCAGGAACATCTGCCAATCATGAGGGAGGGCATATTTTCACCCAATTGTAAAAGTGCATGTGATATAGAGAGGCAGCAACACTGAACCTACATTCTCATTCAGCTGCAGATATATGAGTGAAATCAATGAAATGTCACTACAGCTAACCGTGATAAGATACCTCTTAAGATTCAATGACTAACTAGGAATATACAATCAGCAACCAAAATAGAAACACAATGGACTGTAGGCTACATGTATAACGTTTTTGCTCTAAGTGAATAATTTGTAGTTAACGTACAATGAAAAGATTAGGAGAGAGATTCCATATACCAGGTATAGAGATAAGATCAGGGCTTCCGACCATTGCTCTGAGCCATTGAATTTTGCTCTTTCCTTCTTTTCCTCCACTATACACACCGCGAACAGCATATAAGTTTGTGTGGAAACCTCTTCCCTCAATTTCCAGCTTATCAATTTTGGGAATCCCTGGAATACAGGGGGAAAAAGATTGCAAACTAAGAAAGTCTTGGACTTTAAGAAAAAGGGATGTCACTGCAGACATTTGAAACCCATTTTAGATGGATTGTAAATGTTCTTAAAGAAAAAGACACCTAGCCCAAAATATAAAAGCAACAACCATAACATCTTTGTCCTGAAGATTAGGATTCTTTCCCTCCATGAAGCTTTTAGGTCATGTCGTCCGTTAATTAACAAATGAAACTAACAAGATTAAATTATGAAAATTTAAGATCCTAAACCTCATGATACTAGTTTTTACTACTTCAACTTGAATGATGACAATATATCTAAACTAGTATAGAACATTCTGCATAACATATATGCAGTAGTAAAAATAACCTGGTAATATGGGAGAGGTCACTGCTGAAACAGGTCCACTTGACCTTCCAAACATGTCTGTAACAGTGCATTCACATTTCAGGCAACGGCCTATGTCTTCAAATCGGACCTTATATGAGCTAGAGCAGTGTGAAGGCAATTGTTCAAATGATTGATGTGATCCTGTTCCTATTGAATAAAACCTGTCCACATATAATAAATCATTACAACGATCATAAAATACTGCAGTAGGGAATGTGCCAAATAATATTTTACCATTGGTATTTAATATCTTTCTTGTATTTGCTCCAAATATGTCGTTGAATCTCACTATGTGGAATAACCTCAACTGCAGTAAGTATTCCTCCTTCAATTTCTTTTCCATTGAAATAGAATCTCTCAATTCTTAGGAGTTCTGAAACAAAAGATGTAAATTATGTCTCTATTGCAGGTAATAAAAATGAAAAAAAAAAGTAAAAATGGAGCCTTGTGGGGAATGTGTGTGTGTGTGTGGCCGGTGTGGGATTTTTTTATTTTTATTTTATTTATTACTAGAGAACTAGGGCTTCAAACGGGTCCACATCATCTGAACCTGAAATGGTCCAGCCTGATTTTTCCCGATCAAAATCAGAAATCTAGATATATCTGCCGTGCATGGTCCAAGCTCTGGACCGGGTACCCCAAATAGGTAGGGTCTGGACCTACCCAATCCTCTTAACACCCTAACAAATCCCTAGGAGCCAACAAAAATTAGCACAAAATATGACTCTAGTGTATAAAAGTATTAATTATAATGGACCACATCCTAAATAGATTCAACTTGAACCAAATTTTCCTAATAAATGAATCAAGTCTCAGTAAAAATTATAGACTAAAATCTTCCTAGACCAGGGCCCTATAGTCTTTGTAGGTTCAGATCTGGCCAAGGCAGACCCGACCTGAACCCAAATCAGTTTCCCCCTATAGGGAAGAGACAAAGAAGAATGCATCCTGCAAATTTCCTAGATTCAGGAGCTAAAATTATTTGGTCACTTGGAGTAACCTTAAGCAGACATGACGCTATCACTATAACTAAACATTCAATGAACAACAGGCAGCGCTGGAGCAGTTTCTTTGCCAGTTAATTATCTTTAAGAACAAAACTTCTATATGAATCAAAAATATATCTATAACTAAGAACTGGACAGACATTCAGAGAAGTGAAGGATATGCTTGTATAACATTTAAATCATAGAATGTTTACAGTTTCAGTTTACCTGGAAGAATTATATTGGATGGCTCTGACAATTTGAGTTCCCCAACAACAGAATCCGAGCGAGCAGGGGTATAGCTGCCAAATTAGACTATTTATTCAATTTTTGAAATAAAAGAAATGATATTGGATTCTTCTAAGATACACTGTATTTAAGTACGACAGTGACAATACTTCTTCTTTTTAGCACTAATTTCCCATCAAATTTACAAGCGCTTTATTATTCCTTTCTCTAGCACTTTCAAAATTTCATAAACTTGTTGTCGTGATAAAACATATTGATCTTAAGGACAAACAATGACTTGGGAAGACAGGTTAGTTACCCAAACAATAGACGGCAGTTGTAATCAGAATCTGTAACTTCGTAAGTGGTAGAAGTTGCTCCACTAATAAGAATAAGATTCCCTTCATTAGTTTCCCTGTACCAGCTATACAAGCTTGATCCTTCATAACCACCATAATATTTGCCTTCTCCAGCATAAACGCCAGAACTTATTTCCTTTAAGAAAACATCAGAAACAACTGGGAGAGCTGTGAAGTACAAATAAGAACAGTTAGAACAAAGAAAAAGTTAACATTAGTTGAGGACTTAATGTGGTTTCAGTACGATCGTTATAGAAGATTCAATTTTATATTCAATAACTCTAATTAAATTCCAATACAGGAACTTTCTATCATAATATACTAACAGTTTTTACATAAGTTATCTAAACTGTCTCAATACTTCATGCTATTATTTCATAAAACCAGATGCATCGAAGATAGTAAATAGATATTTTTCAGGTAGAATTTTTCTGAATATTGATATGTTGAGATTACGGCCCCATGTTACGTTATTACTATTATACAAACAAATAAAAACTATTATACCGTAAACAGTTTTTGTGGTAACTAAAACCAAATAGCCGTACAGTCAATTCCAGAATGTCAATTCCAGAATGTATATCCCTAAAGGCTTTGCCAATATATGCAATATGGATAGTAGTTTCAGTAGGTATCGCTAGCGGATAAGAGTAAAGACAACCTGCCATGACTGGATCATTGCTAACTGAAAAAAGTGGTTCTCCAAGCTTTCCATCAACACGTGTAGGCAACCATTGAAGAGCTAAATGAGAGCCAATATCATCAAGCGAAGGTGTATAGGTTCTGTTACAGGATGCAATCAGTCAAGATGGCAATAAAAAGTTTACTTCTATATCATAAGAAATAACTGTAGCCTATAACACATCATACAAGGTCTTCCCAACAATAAGAGCATCTTCAGAAGCAATAATGCTATTCAGCAACTCTGGTTCAATTTTATCCTTGACTCTGTACCATATATACTCCCCAGTGCCTTCTTTCCCACCATAATAATGTTTTATGGGAACAGCTTCCTTGTCTTCAAAACAGCTTGGAATCATAAGCTTAGTACCCTTTGGATCCGCTGCAACAAAGAAAAAGAAAGATCATGTAAGAAAATAGATATTGGCAATGATAGGCTGAGACACTTTTAGCAGCCTAGCAAGATTAATGCACTTGGCGAGATAAAGAAGAACCATTAAGCATAAGCAAATTATTTTGTCAAAATACTCCTTATCGACTTCACTTATGCCATCCTCATCATATCATACTATATATACTAAAAAAAGCTAAGTTGTGCACTTGCCATCTTATTAGAGCTTTGGCTCCTTATCTTCCTAAAATTAGTAATTAATAACTACCATTTTAGTTTTTATTTAGCATTTATTTTTC